TAATTTTGGTGGGTGATCTGCCTCCTCTGGTGACAATGAAAACTGCAGGACACAAAAAGGTGGCCAGATTTCTGAAATTAAAGCGAGGACATTTCCAGTTCAGTGTCAATATATCATTAAAATATCCAATAAAAAAGGGGGACAGTCCCAGTTTCCTGTATTTTGACTGTGGTAACTGTTGTACTGTAATAAACTATGGTGAGGGACGACTCCCTACCTATGAAATAGTTGTAAAGCCCAATTGTCTGTCTATTCCTCAATTATTCATATTCCTTTGGTCTGTAAGAGTCCACAGATCAAAAGAATCAAAAGGGTTTTTCATAAAAATATTCCAGGTTGTGAATATTATCGTGTGAAGTCCATTAAAGATTGTTGGCCAACTTCTTCTTCTTCTTCTTCCTCCAACATAAAAACAATGTTTTCAAGTTCCGGCTGGAAGATTTTAGGTATGTTTGGTTCCGTTAATTTACTTCCTGGTTATGAACTTCTAACGAATAAATGAGCCAACTAACCTTTTCCCTGCCTAGACACACCCAGTGCAAAGCTAGACGTCTCGTTTTTAGTTCACAGTTAAAACCAGGGACATTTCTGGAGACAGCTCCAGCCGGGGACAAGCCACCAAAAACAGGGACGGTCTCCGGAAAACCCTAGGACACAAGGCAATGAGGAAGAGATTAGCGCTAAAGTGCATTTAGCTGAATATTTACTGTGAACTATTCTGTTTAAAGAATTTTTGAGAAAAACAAGGTTATTCGCTTTCTTGCTGAGAAACAGATGAGTAGATTGATACCACTCTCAAATCTGTGTGGTAAATATGAAGTTACACTTAGCTTAGCTTAGCGTAAACACCAAAAAACAGCTAGCACAGCTCTGTCCAAAGGTAACAAAATACACCCAGCAGCACCTCTAAAGCTCACTACTGAACATGTTATGGCTTGTCTGTTTAATTTGTACAAAAACTAAAGGGTAAAGTAAGTATTTTTTGATATTAGTGACCCTCAGAGGTGCTGGGTGTATTTTGTTAGCTTCAGACACAGCCATGCTAGCTGCTTCCCTTCTGTTTCTAGTCTTTGTGCCAAGCTAAGCTAACCGGCAGCTGGTTGTCACCTTATATTAATAAAAAGATCTTCTCATCGTCCAATAAGCAACTTTTCCTTTTGAAACACCTCTCAGATGCTTTGTCAAGATGTCATGTAAGACTAATTAAACACGACCGATCAAAGAGAGGGATGAAAGGGAAACGTGCAGCACTTTAGCACTTTAGAAGGAACATAAATGCCATCAAAAAGCTCTGACATCAGAAAAGAGAAGAGCTGAAAGAAATTAAAAAATGCATCATTTTCATGCCAGAGACTCACAGAACAGCCAAGGTTACAGTTCCATCTGTTTATTGATTAACTATAAAATATTGAGTTACTAAAACAATTTAAAAGAAACACTGATAAACATGGTTGCTGTCTGTAAAAAAAAAAGAAAATTTTTTTCTTACACATACAGTATAGGGCGACAGAATATATCTGGTTTCAGATTTATCTCTAAAATGTATTCTTTTTTTGCATTTTTACAAGATTAGACATGTGTACAAAGTATATTCTGATAGCTTTTTCTCCCCTCGACAGTGAAGGATCATTTACAAAACTTAGATGATTTTTCTATTTATTTTCAAAATAATCTTTTTTTTTCTTTTTTTTCTGTAACAGGACGATAACGATACTGAAGGAACAGCAGACGAAGAACCAGCCTCCAGTCCACCTCTCTCTCTCTCTTTCTCTCTCTCTCTCTCTCCCATTCTCTCTTTTGCCCTCTCTCCCATTCCTCTCTCTCTCTCTAGCAGCTAGCTCCCAGTGCCTGTCAGCAGTATTGCTTGAGAGGCGTGGACGATTGTTCAGAGAGGGGAAGCAAGGGGGGAAAATTATTACAGAAACATGCAAAGAAAAGAAAAAAGAAAAGAAAAGAAAAACAAAAACAGAGAAAAATAAATCAGAGAAAAAAACAACAAACAAAAACAAAGTAAAACACGTAAATGGTGATAGAAAGAACATGTATAAAGTCAGGCTCTTAAAACATGACACCAAATGAAAATGAAGGCGAACTGGGGAATAAGTGTGTGTGTGTGTGTGTGTGTGTTGGACCCTGTTTGAAGGCCTAAGGCTGGGCTTTGGATGGAGTTAGGGGACAAATAGAGATCGGTAGGCAATAACACACACCATATAGGGTTACAAAGGTGTTTAAGTGTACGTGTGTGTGTGTGTGTGTATGTGGTAATACAAGGGGATAAGAGTGTGATGTCTTATCAGTCTCTCACTCTCACACACACATACACAGACAAAAAAGTGCTTTAGCAGCTCCAGGGGTAAACAAAGATTCAGAACGGAGCACTTTAACTTGTTCACTCTGCAAACACTGGTACGACCTGTCTATCCATTACACTCCCACGGCCGAGGAACCGACCGCAGATACGTTTTCGGCCGACTTTCAGTCAAAACTTTTGAACTCTCGTCTGCAGACATTTGAGTTTCAGGCAGGAGATCTTCTGTCTGGTCTCGGCCCGAAAGGAGTCGATATATAAGAGCAGCAGCTGGACGAGCAGCTGGGGCTTTAGCAGATAAGATATTCTGGCATCAATTGATCGAGTAATCTCAGAAAACAGCACATAGAGTCACTCTGTACCTGTTAAACCACTTTCAGTACTAACAACTAGCAGCAAATTACCAACCTTATCTTTACTGGGTGGCTATCATGTCTGGATTTGATATAAATGTGCACTGAAATGCTGCTGTACTGGCAGACGTCTTTTGTCATTTAGCGGGAAAATGTCACATTAACATCTTGGGTCGTCCTCCAGACGTCACGCAGCCATCTCAACGTGAGTAAAAATATGATATAGCCTACAATAAAATCAGACACATCCAGAGAAAACCAAAAGATCTCAAGATAGTAGAAAATATTAAACCTATTGAATATCAACAAGACAATCTTCAATCTCTGCAGTGAAGCAGAGAGAGGGCAACGTGGTACGAAACATACAAGAAAATCAACATGATAATCACAGATATATAATGTATATACAGTATACTATATACTGTATATATATACTGATATATCTGATACACACTCTATACACAATAGTGTAGCTAAGTGGGTTAAGAGCTCAGGAACGGAGGGTTGTTCAAACTATGAATCACAAAGAAGAAAGATGTTTCCCAACATCAGCAGACTGGAGAAAATACCAATCTGACTTCTCCGCAGCACCTACAGGAGCCGAGGATAATGGCGGGAGTAGGGGGGGGGCGGGACCTAAGAGAGATTTGGCGAATCATCATAAGGCCTGGGAGAGTAAGGCCACCCAAACGCTCACAACCCTGAGCACGACATTCAACAGTCTCACTCTAACAACGGTTAAACTAGGCACATAGAAAAAATTCATAAGCAGCTAAGAGAGCCGAAAAAAGAACACACTTCGTGTCAAATACAGGACCGTGCCGCTGGTCTCTCCGTGAGCGTGCTGTCTGTCTTGTGGCGCGAGGAGGCGGGGGGCGACGGGGCGTCACCGGCGCACTGCAGAGGAGAGGCAGCGAGAGCGGCGGGAGGGGGGTGGGGTTAAGCAAATACTCTAGGAAGACATACACGACTCCCAGTCACACGGTCTCCTCTGCAGCGGAGCTCATTCAAAGTGCACTCATGTCAAATACGATTGCTTGGAGGGCGAAGTGTGATCATAAGAGGTTAAGATGGACGTCCATAAAACAGCAGAAGCAAAAGAAATATATAAAAAAAAAAAGAATACATCTCACACAGGACATTTGGAGGTTGCAAACGCTGCAGAGAAACTGAATAAATGAAGCCAAACTGTGGACGATGAGTGTTAAAAATTGAATTATGTTGATCTAATCAGAGCTGGCAGCTTCATACTGCACATCGGTGCTGTGACCTTGATGCATCTTGGACTGACTGCAGTGTTTGCAACCCTGGAAACACCTTTAAAACAAAAACAAAAAAGGAAAAATCCACCCTCTGGGAGTCCTGCACTGTTATACCAGCTTGTCTTGTTCAGTGCTTTCATGGAGTTACTTTGGAAGGTTTCACTTTACTTTGTTAACCCGTTTTTTTTTAACACAAAAAAAAAAAAGAAAAAAAAGGGATGTCCTACATTTCCCAGAATTCTTTTCAACACCACCCGGACGGGCCTAAAGCGGCACCTCCTCTCGGATCTACCCCCCTCCCCTCCCTCCCCCCGGTTCTGTTGCTCCACCTCAGTGCAAAACGGTGAAAACAACAGAACGCAAGATGCATCGCCACCAGCAGCTGGTTTTTTGTGTCGTAGTGTTTAAAGTGTTCGTGGGTGGATTTTTCCTTTCAGAATGAACTCAAAGATGAAAATGGGAAGTGCTTTTAATAGTACACAATTCCTTCCTCTCTCTTTAGCCTGAGTCTCTGAGGGAGTCAGAAGTTTGAGTAGCACACGGGCAGCTGCCCGGGTTAGGATTGTCAAGGGGAATTGAAGGGGTTAAATTAAAGGAGCATAGACTCTAAGTGTTTTTAAGTGCTTTCTGTTGGACAGCAAAAGGAGGGAGTCTCTACCTCTCTCTCTCTTTCTGCGCATCTCTTTCTCTTTTTGCATCTGTCTGTCGCTCCTGCTGTTCTATAGATACATTTATATGACTGTAACATGACTGTAACATCACCACGGCAACATCATAATCACAACGTCACACCACCGGCGCGTGCGCGCGTGCGTGTGTGTGTGTGTCCGTCTGTCCGTCCTGTCGGGGCTGGGGGAGGACGGATGGACAGACACGGGGGCCTCTCTCCTGTATCATCATTCACAGTTCATTAAAGCTTCTTGACTGTTTACCTCTTTAGAAAAAAGTACTCTGACATAAATCTATTACATGAAAATAAAACACTCATATTTTCCTCTATATAACTGTGAGTGTGAGTGTGTGTGTGTGTGTGTGTGTGTGTTACATGGGGGTGAGTATTTACATGTGTCTGTGCATGTGAGTACGTGTCTGTGTTCATGTAAGTTGTATTTACATGTAAAAGGAGACTGAAGCGCTCGCGTGTTGTGAAACTTTCCCCATGAACACGACGAGTGCGACAGTTTGTGTCGATGGAGTCTGTGTGTGCAAATGTTTCCGGAGACTTGTTCCTTTTTTAATACTGTCTGTAGTGTCTCCTGTCTCTGTAGTAGTAGCTGTTCGTGACAGTCCGTCTCGAAGTGTATCATGGTAAATCGGAGCAGTTGAGTTCGTCGAGTCACGTCTGCGAAAAAGATCCATCATGACTGAAGATCAGTGATTAGACTTGGAGAGACCACGGGTTGGGTTTCGACTCCTACTGAGGTCCACGGTTGGTGAGTCGGATCACAATTTGGTTTCAGCAACTCGTAGCGTTTAGCAGATGACCGGGACTCCGTCGGTGTTGAAGATCATGCCAGTGGTGGGTTCATACGTGCCGGCCAGGTAGTAGAGGTCTTCGCTGTCGGCGTAGCGGCGCGTGTGGGTCATCTGCTCGTACTCGTCCACGCTCACCACCAGGCACTTGTGGCTGACCGTCTGCACGTCGTTCTCGTCGCTGTGAGACGACTGGTACAGGGCGCGCTGCGACAGACACACACATGCTTTTATTCTGTAACTGCTGTAGACTGTGTGTTGTGGATGGACACAGAATTATGTTTTCAGACGAGTCAAAAATATCAACTCAATACTAAACACATATATTATTAAAAGTAAGTGTAAAAAGAAATATAAAGCTTTACACGACAAGTTAGTTCAGACCAAGTAATTTGATTGGACGAGAGTCATTCCATGAGATATAAAAAACAGCACTGGGACACAGGTGATCTATTAACCATTAATCAACATTACATTAACGGTCGTTATCTCAGATTGTAACAAAGTTTGAAAAGAAATAACATTTGAATTAAATGATGTCTGGTCGTCAGAAGAGGATGAAGGGAAGAAGCCTGGATACAGTGTGCACTGTGCAGGTCGGGGTAATGTTTATGTGTTGCTTAGCAACAGTCCAGTATCAGTGCAGTTGCGGAAGTATTTGTGTTGTCGTAGACAAATAAACGATAACGAGAGGGAGTGATGTTGGACTGAATATCAGCGCGGCTGTGACGCTGTCACAGGTACGAGGCCGCACGCCGTCAGCCAGTGATGTCATCATCTACATACTGTAAACTGCTGCAGCATCACTGTAGTCATTCTTCTAACAGTAGCAGCTAAAGCATTTTAGCTAGAAAACTAAAGCTAATAAAGTTAGATAGCTAATATTATATTTATAAGTTCAGGCACCACAACGGAAAAAGTCTTCAGCTTTATTGTGCTGTTCTTGCTTTGTTTTAGATGTGTGTGATTATCTCTTAGTGTTAGCTAGCTAACTCGGTTGCTGTTAGCTTGCAGGCTCTTAAAAGACTTTATACACTGATGCTACAGCGTAAGTTGCTTAACCAACTGATTAGAGGTTAAAGGAAAAAGCTTTATATTCCCCTTTACAATCCACTTTAGTTTCATAACTAACAGTGTTATTATTATTATTATTATTATTATTATTTTTTTTTTTAATTAAACAAAAACGTGGCATCAATAACCAGAAGACAAAACAATAAACACAGATCAAACTTAACACACACTAAGTGTTAACAAACCAAATGGTGAACACAAACATAACATTACAAAATCAATCCTTTGACAACCTAAATAAAATATTAAAGAATAAATAAATAAGAAACCAATCAATCAAGAATAAACTAACAGTATTATTTATTTATATATTCACAATTATATTTTTGACCTGTCAGTCTCAAGTTTCCACACCGTCTAAGATGCCCATTAGTCTGTTCCATGGTTATATTAAAGAACCTCAGTGTTTTTAAAGCCTGAGGAGCAGAACTGGAGACAGGTGCAGTAATCAATTCTCCTCTTACCTCCATGAAGTCTTTCCTCTGGATAGACGAGTGCAGAGCTGCTGGTAAAGACTGGCTGCAGATCTGATCCCAGTTCTGGAGAGAAAAACAAGTCTTACACTTAGGGAAAAAATATATAAATATATATAAAAACAAATTCAGTCTGGTGAGAAAAAAGTATCATGATTCACTCATTCGATAAGAAACAAATAGATAAACGTGATTATAGGAGGTGACATTGAGTCAAATAAGTTCGACCATGAATAAAAACCCTCTTACCTTCTTGTCAGTGAGTTTCTTGCCGGGGTTCGTCTCCTCCGGGTGATAGAACCAGTTGACCCTGACCACCATGTTGCTGCCCCAGGACTCCCACATGCTCTGGATGCGGCCGATGAAAGGCAGGTTGGGCCGACCAGCGGACAGGAACACGGCACAGTCACCGATGCGGATCATCTCTCGGCCGCGAACGATGGCCTTATAGAAGAGCTTCTTCGCTTTGCCCTTCATACCGCGTCTCTGGAAGGGGGGGGTCACAAGAGGACAAGCTGGTCACAGAGTGAAGGGGGGGGTGACAACAATTCATTTTTCTAATTGCGTGGTTTCCGTCCTCACCTGAGTGGGTTTCCCAAACCACTTCCAGAGCTGTCTGGCTGGAAGAAAAGCAGAGATCTTGGGCCTGTTCTCCACACTGGGGAGCCTCTGACGTTTAGCCAGCTCCTTGGTGGTGGGGAGGTGGACCCCCTCTCTCCGCTTTGGTCTCCCCACTTTCCCCTCTCCTCCACTGGGCTTCGGTTTCGGGGGGCGACCCCTTTGCCCGGAGCCCTTCCCCGTGGCCGGTTTACCAGATTTAGCGGGAGCAGGAGCAGCGGGAGCCGGAGAGGTCGAAGGGGAGGGAGATTCTGAGGGAGGTGACAGTTCCTCCTCCTCCACTTTCACCTCCGCCTCCGTCTTCACATCCTCTTCCTCCTCCTCTTTCGTCTCTTCTTTGGGTTTGTCCTGCGCCGGAGGCGGGGAGACGGGGCCTGGCGGAGGCGTGGGGGTCCTCTCTTCATCTGAGCTGCAGGACGAGTCGTCGGTGGAGGAGGAGGACGATGAGGACGACGACGACGAAGAGGAAGAGGAGGAACCAGAGCAGGATGAAGAGGAGGAAGAGCAGCTTGAGGTGCATTTCTTCTTTTTCTTCATTTTCCCTTTCTCGCCTTCTTCCTCTGACTCGGAGCTGCTGCTGCTCTGAGACTCCTCTTTCATCTTTCTCTCCTCTCTTTTCTCCACCTCCTTTCTCTCTTCTTTTTTAACTTTCTCCTCTCTGGCGTCCACCTCCTGTCCTCTACCTCCACTTCCACGGCTGTCCGTCTTCTCCTTAGGCAGCATGGGTGCTTTGTAGGCGGAGTCTTTCTCTGGCAGGCTGGAGTCTCTCTCTGGAGCCCGCGGCTTAGCTTTTAGCAGCTTTTGATTGGCTGAGGCCGTGGTGATGGGGGCGTGATCTCGTCTGACGCCCCGACCCTCTAGCAACATCAGGGCCTTGGTCTTCTTGGTCTTGGGCGAGGTGACACCTTCATGGTCCAGCTTCACGAGGGGCTCCGCTGACAGGGACTTCCGCCTCACCGCCGACCCCCCGTCGCTCTGCCCCGGGCCGGGCTTGGGCCTGGAGATGGAGCTGGAGCTGGAGCTGGTTCTGGAGCTGGAGGAGAGCTGGTCAGACGGCATCTTTAGTTTGGGTCTGGGGGCAGATGACGACGATGACGATGATGATAATGAGGATGACGACGACGATGAAGGTCTGGGAGCGAGAGAAGAGCCGGGCTTGCCTGATGATAGCCGGGAGATGGGGCTGGGAATGAGCCCGGAGCCGAGGCTGGGTCTGGAGCTGCTGTGATGGTCCGAGGAGGGTTTAGTTTTGGGTGTGGAGGCAGAGGCGGGCCTGGGCGTGGATGACGCACCGGGCTTGGGCGCAGCTGACGTTGCCATGGGTCTGGACATGGGTCTGTTGGTGGTGGGACTGACGCTGCTGGTACTCTCCCTCTCTCTCTCCCTCTCCCTCTCCCTCTCCCTCTCTCTCTCTCTCTCTCTGCGCTGGCTGTTGTACGAGCTGAGGTTGGGCTCGCTGTACAGATCCACAGTCAGGACTTTCCCGTAGGTGGAGGGGTAGAGGGAAGGAGGGAGAGCACGGGCCGGTTTAGAAGCGGGAGGCTGGGCCGAGCCGCTCTTCCTGGGCACCGGGGAGGGAAGGGTGGGGCTGCTCGCGGGGGACGTGGTGGAGCTTTTGCGGCCCGGTTTCGTCTGGGTTCCCATCGTTGGCCGGGACGCGGGGCGGGGCTTCTCCTGACCCGCCTTCTGGACGGAGGAGGTCCTGTCCTGGGCGGGCTTCGCTGGAGCCTGGGGTCTCTCTGCAGGCTGGGTGGAGGAAGGTGGAGGATCGGTTTTCTCCCGGCCATCCTGGTTCACGGAGGTCTCTGTGGGGAAAGAAACACAACAACTTTACATTTGACCAAACTGTAAATGGCTTAGACAGTTACAGTGGATACGCTGATGTTTTCATTGTGTGGCCTCGTGATTTTTGCGGTTTGCAGCCCGAGAATGGGAGACATAACTATTTCTGAAATGAAAACATTGCATTGAAGAAGTGCTTATCCAGACAAAACAAGGGCGGCGTCAGCGAATCAGACACGCAACACGCCACGTATTACAGCAGTAACACGTTGGAGCAACAGACTCTCAGCTTCACTGAAGGTTTGAGCAGATTTATTAAACTGATATGAGACACGACAGACGTGGTCAAACACGATGAAAGATGTTCCATGAGCGTGGAGCTATTTTCGTTGGTTTCTGTTGCTTTAAAAAGACGCATCAAAAGGTACGAACGTGACGCAAAGTGTTTTTGAGTTTCGCTCTTTAATGATAAATATGTTTTTAAAAAAAGTAAAGACAGTTCGTTTCTATTATTATTCCTAATAATCAGCACAAATGAAGTGAAGTTCCAGCTGCTGGGTGAAACACAGGAGCCGCAGCGTGTGAAATCCATCTCTTTCTTTACGGCACATTAAGCTCCAGCGTGTGAGGAGACGTCCTTTACTGGTCCCATGGAGTCACTCAGAGAGGAAAATAAATTAAAACAAAAGGCGAAAGTGATGACGGTACTTAATGCACGTTGGATCAGTTTCACTTTAAACACCTCCTCCGTTATTTTCTCCTCCTGTGGGAAACCTTACAATTTCTTTTTCTTTAATAAAGTCGGACATTTCTGTGTCTCTACCGACAGTCTCGCTCCTACGTCACTGAATAAATCTATCAACCACTAAACTCTTTATATGTTTATATATTTGCATCTGTATGTTATTGTGTCTCTTATTTATTCTAGATTCTGTTTCTGTTCTTATTTTATTTCTTTATCACTTCTTTATATTTCCTCTTGTGCTGATGTGTCAATAAAGGTTCATCTCATCTCTTATCACGAGGAGAAGCAGCACGTTGCTTTTATTAATCCCTGTATTGATCCCTGCGAGGTTCGATCAGCTCACCTGGTTTGGGTTTGGGTTTGCGACCGGGTTTTCCTTTGATCTTCGGAGCGCTGTCCTCTGGCTTCGTTCCCGCCTCTTTGCCCTCTTTGCTGCATTTGCGGACTCTCCTCCGGGAGCAGCTCGCCACGAGCAGCGCAGGGGACGGCTCGGCGCCTGGACAGAGGCAGAGAGGGAATTTAACCGACAAGCTTCTGGTATAAAAAGAAAAAACAATAACAAGGCGAGGTGTCGTCTGTTACCGGCTGACACCATTATGTCTGTTTGACTGCGCTCATCTCCTCATGCAGCTTCAACATCTCGCTTTGCAAAGAGGAAAATATTTTTACCAGCTTCTAACGAGCAGAAATCAACAAAAACATGGAAACATTTTAGTTTTGTATTTTCATTTTTGTAAAGTGCGTCGTGTTGTTTCTCCTTTTGGAAGATCCATTAGCCTCAACTCCTGACGCCTGAAACATCCACTTAGGTTCAACAATTAGTGTGTGTGTGTGTGTGTGTGTGTGTGTGTGTGTGTAGGACTATGACCTCCCTGTCTGCATTTGCATGAATGCTATTTCTGTTTGTTGATGCTTTTTGCATAAGTTACAAGAGCTGCTAATTTACACACACTAATGTAAAGTAGCAATACACTGGAGTGTGTGTGTGTGTGTGTGTGTGTGTGTGTGTTCCCTCTTCTCCCCTGTTTCAACAGAGAACTGAGAGCTGCAACAGGAAAAATCTAGAAAGATCATGATTGATCATGAACTCATCATGACCTGTGTGTGTGTGTGTGTGTGTATGTATGTGTGCGTGCGTGTATGTGTGTGCATGTGTGTGTGTGCGTGTGTGTGTATGTGTGCGTGTGTGTGTGTGTGCGTCTGTGTGTGTGTGTATGTGTGTATGTGTGTGTGCGTGCGTTGGTGTGTGTGCGTGTGTGTGTGTATGTGTGTGTGCGTGGGTGTGTGTGTGTGTGTGTGTGTGTGCGTGGGTGTCTGTGTATGTGTGTGTGTGTGTGTGTGTGTGTGTGTGTGTGCACGCTCACAGTGGATCTTGTAGTCTGGCGGCAGCAGTCTGATGTGGGAGAGGGGGATGCGGCCTGTGTCGCCATCGTCAAACTCCACGGTGATCAGATCATCATTCTCGTCAATATCTGAACTTCCTGTTTTGGGGAAAAACAACATTTTGATTTGAAAAATAAATGAAAAACAATAAAAACAGTTTGTAAGATTCGTTTGATTTGTTGATCTGTCACTCGTGTTCACTGCAGCAGAACTCAAAGGTTTGTTCTGTAACACCTGACTCTTCAAAATAAGAGACTCTGCTGTATCATGCACTGAAGGATCTTTTACATTTGTTTGTGCTGCCAGCTACAATCAATCTGTGCACGTAAGAGGATTATGGATCGTATCATGTGAGTGGCCGGGGGTGTGTTTCCGTGCTACCGTTGACGACGGTGCCGGGGTAGAGGCAGCGGTACTGCTGGCTCCAGTAGGCAGCGATGCGGGTTCCCTCTGGGAGATAGCGCACGGACGGAGGCTTCACATCGATGATCTGCACGGACGGAACAGACAGTCAACACAACGCGGCGTTCGGCCACTCTCGTGCACACACGTTATTGCACGTGACGGACCTGTGAGGTACGAGACAGAGATGTGCAGACGGTCTACTCACAGCTTCCTGCAGCAGTTGTTCCAGGCAGTAGATGTGTGGTCGGTTCCCTCTCTCCCCCTCCACCACCACGCTGTATCTGCAGGGAGGAAGCACCGCAGGAAAGGTCAGGGGTCAAAAGTTCGAGGTCAGTGCAAAGCCTGAAGCCTTTTTTTTTTTTTTTTTTAGGACACAGTGAGACAGTATCCAGACTCACGCCGGCTTTCTCTGAGGAGTAAATTGTCTCTTTAACAGACACAGCGAGTCCTTATCTGGAGTCTGGCTGCTCTGACGTGTGGCAGGACGGGGGAATGTGCCGTCTTCTCTTACAAATAATAACTACAGTACCTCGTCTCTGGACTGAACTGTTGTCTGGCATGGAGCGCGGCAAGCACCCACTCTCCCCCGCCAAAATAAATCCTGTCTGAAGAGGGATTAAGTTTGTTTGTTTTTCCTTTAATTAAGCATTCTCTATTCCGCTCAAACTCAAACTGTTCCACATCAAGGAACCCGTCTGATAAGATTTCTGCTTTTAGATGTTTTATTACGGAAAGTGTTTGAAACCCACGGCCGAAGTATTTAATAGGACCTCACTTTGAGAACCCCCCCGACTTTATGCTAAGCTAACCAACTGCTGGATTTAGCTTTACATTTTTCACATAGAGACGTGAGAGTGTATCCTGACTTTGGACAAGAAGGAGAACGAGACTATTTCCCAAAATGTCAAACTGCAGTCGAGAGTTGGAGTTAAAATCCTTGTTTGTGTCGTGGTATGAATGAAAAACGAGCAGGGCGTTGTAACAGGTCACTGCGGTTTGTATCTGCTGACTGTATCAGGTACTTCTCAAATCAAGGACAAACTTCGGAGGCAAAAGAAAACTGGAGCACACTGATTGATTTGCAGCTTTTAATAGTGCGAACAGATGTGTGTGTGTTTCCTCTATTAAAGGCTGCACATCAATTACGCTGCTCTGTTTAAAAGATGAAACGTGGCCTTGTGTGTGTGTGTGTGTGTGTGTATACTCACATGTCAGGGGAGTGTACAGTGTTCACATGTCCGGCGTACAGTAGTTGGTCGTCCATTGGGATCAAAACTCTGAGTCCGTCCACCAGAGAATCCTTCTCCAACACACACTGCACCGGAGCTGAGCACAACAACACATGCAATAAGTCAGTAAGTGTGTGTGTGTGTGTGTGTGTGTGCATTCCAGACACTTCCTGTTTGTGCGTACTGACCGGGTGTGGACGACCTCTCAGAGACGCTGTTGCTGTGTGGTGGGAGGAGTTCGTCCTCGCTGAAGCTGCTGTCCTGGTTGGGCTCAAAGTCCTCGTCTGCTGCCATGCTCTCCATCAGCCGGCTCACCGCTCCCCTGGAGGGCTGCAGACACACACACACACACACACACACACACACACACACACACACAGGCTTTAATTTCACTCCACTAACTACTGCTATTCATGTAAGGAAAATAAGATCAACTGTCTGTATTAAATTGAATCTGTTTTCCTGTGATCTTCTCACAAACACCTGACTGAGGGATGAACCTGACTTTGTTTTTGCTGTTATTTAAAGTTAATTTGCGGCAGCTCGTCAAACTACCAGGCTGACACGCCACAGATTAAAGGGATAGTTCAGGTTTTCTGACGTGGGGTTGTGTGAGTTAGTCAAAAACAATCCAACATCTGTTTAAATGAAGCTTCATGTAGAATATTTTCCGCCTTTTATTTTCCCGTGAAAACAGCATTTTCCTTTGGCACTACATTTTTTAAACCGTTGAACCACCGTATTCCTACACACATGCGCATGTACAGAGCGCACTGCATTACCTGCAGTACATCAGAATCTACTGCAGGTAACGCACCGACTATAAATGTCTAAGCTCACACAAGCACACGTCCGAAAACACCTGAACTATCCCTTTAACTTTCCACAGGGAAGCGTTGACATACCACGACACTTCTGCTGTTGCACCACCACACAGCGCCCTGCACACACACACACACACACACACACACACACACACACACACACACACACTTCAGATTCCCTCAGCGTTTCCTAAACAAACTGGAGTTCAGGCAGGTGGCAGATGGAGAGCGATGCAACACTTTGGTAGAAATCACACCATAAAAGAGGTTTTACTTCTTTTTCTTTTTTTTCTTTCTCTCTAACAAGAAAACAAATCAGCGTTAATTACAAATCAAGGACTCAAGTTGATGGAGACTTGCATGTTTTCACTTTAAGGCCTAATAACTTAAACGTTCTGGGGTTTTGTCCTTGCGGGGATAATTAACTTCACATCCATAACGACTTTGCAGCTGATCCATCATTGCTCTGACCTCTCTGGCCTTGGTCTTGGCTTTCGGTTGGCTCTTGCGTGGCGGGCTGAGGCTCAGAGGGGCGGGGCCGTCTGTGATTGGACTGCACAGCGGAGTGGACGGGCTCACGGGCAGAGGAGAGTCCTTCAGCTTCTTCTTCTGGGTTTTCAAAAAGTCACAACACACACAGAGTTAAAAACAACAAAAAAAATTTACGTTAAGGAGTGACGGCACTCAGGATCTACTGGACTGATTTCCTTGCACACACACACACACACTCATGCACACACACACTCATGCACACACACACTCATGCACACACTCATGCACACACACACACACACTGAGGGTGGGATGTTGCCAGGCTGCCTGCAGTTGTCCTTTCTTGTCAGCAACACGACACAGACAGCAGGGGAGTGCTGCAGTGACTGAAGTACTGGGAAACCCTGCTGACACTCTGACACACACACACACACACACACACACACATACAGACACACATACAGACACACAGATGTGTCAGGGGAAACAAAAGGATGAGTTTGAAGGAGTGAAACAGTAACAGAAAAGACAGGGAGGATGAGAGGAGAGAGGGAGGAGGAAGAAAGGCTCGTGTCTCGGTTGGCAAACAACAACAGGCCGATGAATTATTAACGTACTCTCACCACGTCTTTCCCCTCTCTGCCGGGCGGACTGGGTTTGGGTCTGGAGGTGGGTTTCGGGGTGAGAGGCGGAGCTGAGCTGGAGGAGGAGGAGGAGGAGGAGGAGGAAGAGGAGGAGGAGGAGCAGCTCTGACTGGTGGAAGCTGGGGCCGGCACGGGCATCTGATTGGCTGAGGTAGAGGCATCGTGGAGGAAAATCCTCTCGCTGCGTCGTCGGTTCCAGCCCTCGTCCTCGCTGAAGCCTCCGAACCCGGCGCCGCTGGCGAGGTCGAAGCTGAACCGCCGCGGCGACCGAGGTGAGGGCCGTGGTTTGGGCAGAGGCTTGCGTTTGACCGGCAGGGATTCATCCCGCTTGGTGGGGCTGGACTGGTCGGACTGGCGGCGGGTTGCCGGGGGCAACAGGGGGAGCTCTGGGGCGGAGCGTTTGCCGTGCAGCAGGGAGGGAAACTTCCTCAGCCGCAAGTCAGAGCCAGAGTCTGACCACTCGCACTCTGATGAACCTGACAGAGACAGGAGAGGGTCACATGGTGCAAAACACACACACACACACACACACACACACACACACACACACACACACACACACACTCAGGCAGAAATAAACTAAGGTGTTAGATTTTCTGAAATCAATAACACCGTGAATAGGACTATTGATCAATTTGAAGCTAATACATAATTCAAGACTGAATCATTACGTGCACCCCGATGTGACAATTAGAAATGAATGAATATTTAACCATGAATCAATAACATAATCCCGGACAAACGCTCGGGCGGTGAACCTGCTCAACCACAAAGAAAGACAATTATCGTGTGACGTCAGGGGAAAGTGTGAAACTAGTAAAACGTTTTCTTTCAACATTATTAAATAAGATGAGAGGGACCCACTTCACAATAAGACTTCCCTTATAAAGCGTTTATAAATGCTTTATAATGAGGTCATTAATCCGGTTGTTAACACTTTATAAATCACATATAAACAAGTTATAACAGTTTTCATACACTGATGAAGGCTCACTATTTGGCAAGATCAAGTTTATGCTTAGTACTCATTAATCTTACCAATGAGTTACTACCATTTACAGCTGCTAAAAGGAGCTAATTGTAACTTAATTAAATAAATTATTGTTTTCAGACTTTACAATGAGACTCGCTTTTACCAGTTATAAATGTTTGTAACTTCCTGGGATGCTAATGTGCTAAAGAAGATGCTAACCAGCAAAAAGCATCTCCATTTTAATATCCGCTGCGCAGAACAATCTGAGAGCATGAATTATAATATATATATAAATTATAATATATACAAACATGTGAAGAAGCAGCAGGTAACCAATGAGATATGAGGCTGAACAGAACAGAGAAATGTGGTCTCACTATTTGGCAAGCAACATCTCACTTTGCCGTTTTTATATAATATGTTATAACAGCTTATACATGTGTTATAAAGTGTTAACAAGCTAATTAACACTAGTTATAAACCATTTATAAATCCTTTATAAAGGTCGTCTTAATGTAAAGTGGTCGTCTATATCCCGTTTTGCTCTTTTTGTTTTTTTGCACAAACACACTCCCTCACAGCTCATTTGTGTCTGTTGTGTTATTACCCAGAGTGCTTTGCCTGCTGTGGTGTTTGCTGTCATGGAGGAGACTCAAAGGGGCCGAGCTGACAGGGATCGCGCTCGCCGCAAACCTAGCCAGCAGACCCAAGCCGCTCTCCTCACAGCCGCCATCATCCGAGTCGGACTCGTCGTCCTCGTCGTCTTCGTCCTCGTCGTCCTCGTCCTCCGAGGTTTCTGTTTCAAAGAAAAGATTTTCAGCTCAGGGGACGAGTGCGGCTGCAACAGAGGGTGAGGGGCCAAAGGTCAAATCACTTCCTATTGTTTCTACTGACTGTGGACACAAAGAGCGCACCACAGAGAAGATGAATGAACAAGAGAAAAACAATCGAGATGCAGTTTCTCTAAGACAAAGACTGAGCTAAACCCTGAGTGAAAAGAATAGAGCAACACAATTACAGTCTACACAAATACCCAGAGACACACACACACACACACACGTCTTAAATTGTATGCTGATGAGAAACACCAGTGCAGATGGAGAAGATAAGACTGTCCAAACCACTGCAGCGTGCCTTCACACTGTTATACAGCAGGAGAAACTGCCATTTACCACATGCAGATGTGAGCTGCACACACAGTCAACAGCTGCTGAAACCATGTGACCTGAGACTCTGACTCATTTATTACTGAAGTTAAAAAAAACCCAAAAACCCTCAGAGAATATGACAGTGAGAGGTGAACCTGCACTTCCTTTTCTCCAAGTTTGACGGGCTAGAAGAGCACAAACAAGGCAGCACACACACACACACATATATATATATATATACACACACTCAGTTGTCAGTTTATTAGGAACACCTAGCTAAAACGAACGCTGTCTAATAAAACAGCTCTGCAATGATGTGTTAATGTCAAGAGTCACGTGTGATCAGTCTGAGTTTGCGTCATGTTGACAGGTGAGCCACCCAATTCAAATCAATGAGGGCAGGCTAAACAACAGACACCTCTTTTTATAATCAATATGTAATAATAATAATAATAATAATAATAATAATAATACAGTTCAGCAGTGACACAAACTGCCGCCTCCACAGTCATCACACAGTTGAATCAACATCTGAATATTATAACCTCCATGACAGGAGGATTTATTGCAGAAGTTTAGTTTTATACTGCCCTTGTTTCAGCTAGGTGTTCCTAATAAACTGACAGCTGAGTGTATACACGCCGTAGCATACTGTTGGTTAGCTGCGTATTGCTGAAAGTTAGCAGTTAGGTCCACGGCAACAGATGAGCAGGAGAGCGTCTCCTGAGGGGGGTTAAGCGTGTTAACACTGAGGGTGGACGCACAGTACAACATCGCCTCAAGCCTCTGACCACACCCAGCAGTGATGTCACAGTGTACCGCAGTCCACTTCTACATCACCGCAGCACGGTGGGAGATTAAACCGCTGTAAGAACAAAAACAAAACGAGATGTTCTATGTTCTTGTATGTTGCTCATTAGGACTTTATTTGTGGCTCCAGAAAAAAGTGAATTAAACTTTAAAAAACATATTTTGAACTTAATTTCAGAGTCAAATCTGGCGCGTAGGTTGTACTGTGAATCCCCTGTGTGTCAACAGTAGCAAGCAGACGATACAACAAGCAGGCACTGAGAGGACAGCCCTGTGAGGCCCCTTGGTATAATCTTCATATGGAGTTTGAGTAACCATGGTTACCCTTCCTTTAAACCTTTACAAGGAAGTCGGGGTAACTGTGGTTCTCGTTGAACAGCTTTAATTTGTGAGAATAAAAAAATAAAATAAATAAAAACCAAAAAAAAAAAGGATTAAAGTAAAAGTTAATGTTCTGTAAATGTTCAATTTCAGCATAGTCCATGTTAGCGGTCAATAAAAAAAAAATAGAGGGAGGGGCACTTCCTACTTACAGAGCAGGTGACAGGGGTGTGGCCTCAGGCAGGGCGGGGGCAGCGCGGCGACGAGAGCGCAGCCTAGCCTTAGCGTAGCCTGGCCTTAGCACAGTCTAGCTCAAGCAAAGCTTTAGCCACAGCGTAGACTAGCCGCAGCGAGGTAGCGTAGGCTCAAGGCTGCGCTAGTCCTTGCCAAGCTTCTGTAATGTCGCAGCGGCAGCAGTACAAGCACATGGAACAGGCTGAGAGACACTCAAAGCATCATGGGTAGGACGAAGGTGGGGGTAGGGGGAGGGGGGGGGGGTCAGAGGCGAGGAGGGAAAGGTGAGAGGACAGAGCAAGGTGTCGGAGAGAGCAACGTAAAAGGGAAAAGGGTTATTTGAAGGTTTAGTAGACACAGAGGAGGAGCTCTATTGTGCAAATATCCCCAACATCTAAAACAATCTCTCTCGGTGCATTTACTTCCCCCACAACATCAAACACCAGGCCACATCATCAATAAACATTTAGTCTGATATAAAAGAAGCTAACCGTTCCAGAAAAATAGAAAAAGAGCCAACTAGATTAAATTTCTCTTATTTATGCTGAGCAGGGAAAAACATGTCCAATCAGATTCAGCTCTGTGTGCTCCGAATGAATCCTCCACACATGTTGTTTCAGTTTTCCAGATGTAAACCTTTAGCCGAACAGTGTTCTCCAGCCTTTTCCAGGAGAACTAAAGGGATATTTGACGAACAGAGCGCTAGAGGATGTGTGAGGTGCAGCTGGACGGACCGACAGAGACAGACAGACAGATGAAGCAGACACAAGGACCACAGCGCTTTCGCTTTCTGTACCAATCAAATCAACACCTTTAATAAAGCTTATAGGTACCAAAACTGCAATACAACAAAATCTCACAGTTCACACAATTTTTCAAAATGTACAAATGCTACAAAAACTGGTTTGCAATCCAGGCAGTAAAAAAAACAAACAAAAAAAACACCATAGAAATAGGTAAACTCTGTTTTTTCTTTTTTCTCTTTTTTTTTAAAAAAAGGCAACTTTTGCAGAGAAGCCAGCAGCAAGAGAGGTAGAGATCGTCAAGCTAAAGCACAGTCTGAAAACAGCGGCCTTAGCGAAAAGCAAACAAAGACACGAGCTGTGACGGAGGTCAGAGACCGAACAGTGAGGGGCGGGCGAGGGGGGGTGCGGTGGGGCGAGGGAGGGGGGGGGGCTGTAAGATTTGGTCAGTAACCTTGGTCGAAGGAGTCGTCAGAGGAGCTGAGGCCCGCTTCCTCCAGCAGCAGGGATAAGTGCTTGTGTTTCTTCTTCTGAGACTTCTGGCTGGACAGCAGGGACGTCGGCGACGACGCGGTCCGCCTCTTCCTGGTCAGGTTGCCGTGGGAACGTGTCCCTGAGAGAGGGGGCCAGCCCCCTCGAGCGGAATTGTGCTCCTCTGAATCGGAGTCTGGTGCGGAGAAAGTGCGGTTAATGATTCATGACGTCACAGGGAGGAAAAAAACAAAACAAAACAAACAAACAAACAAAAGAGACACAAAAGATGATTTCTGCTCCACCTCAACGTCAGAAACATCCTGCAAATTAAACCTGAATTAATTCTGTTTCCCACGTTAACAAACGTAAACATTATAAGTCTTTGAGTCTACGAGTGACGCTCCGGTTACTCGAGTTAGATGAAGAGAAATCCACGGAAAATTAAATAAATATGTTACTTTAATGAATAAAAATGCGCTAAACATGTGAGTCAGTTTTTAAATAAGTCTGGCTGTTTTTTCTAATTGTCAACAAATCCTGTGAAAAGACCAAAACTAGCTTCAGTCCATCTCCCGATGTTTTCCATCTTCACGACTCCGTTTGAATGTAAAATCTTTAAATTAAAAGTTTAACTTCAAACAGCTGGGAACTGTAGGTTTTAGTAAGTGTTACTCCAACAGGAGCAGATGGCACATTTGCGGGTGACTATTTTCAGCGGCGGATGAATACACACTTGGTGCTTGTAAGTATCAGTGACAGCAGGATGGTGTAAGTGAGATTTACTATCTACATCCTTATTGTTGGTTTGAGTCATTTCATGAACCTTCATGACAAAAAGAAAAAAGAAAAAGTTTGACAGAAACAAACTCTACTGTTTTTTTTTTTTTGTCAAACTATGTTTATAAAAACAGACTCACGGACTATTTCCTGCCTCATCACTTTAAATCTTACAAACTCAAAGCAGACGAGCGCCGCTGTCGTTAATGCTGGATTTATGAAACATGACTTCACAGTATTGTCCTCAGGTACTCACTGTTGGAGCAGCTGCTGAGCTCTGACCTCACAGGAGAGAAGAGAGCGCTCTTCTTCTGACCTTTCACCTTCTGGATGGTCTCCGAGGCGGAAGCCTTGGCGGTCATCTTGTGTTTCCCTCCTTTGGCGGCGGAGTGGATGGCGCGCTCCTTGGCGCGACCGTCGGCGGACTTGCCCTTCGACTTGTCTAACTTCATGCCGGAGGAGAGTTTGCGGGACGCGCCGAGCGAGCTGAGCTGCGAGAGCGAGAGAGCTCTGTCGAGGTCCGACGCCAGCTGCTCCTGCTCGCACACGTGGCCGCGCTTCGCCTTCAACACCTGAGGAACGCCACAGGAAAAAACGTTACGATAATTTAATCAGAAAAGATCACAATCGCAAAATGAAAACACTTCTACAGCGGCTCACCTCCAGAGCGTGACTGGTGGACGGCTCGTGGTCATTCCAGCTCTTCTTCTTCTTCTTCTTCTTCTTTACCTTCACTCCTCCACTTCCTGCCTCCGTCTCCTCCTCTTCTCTGGACACTCTGAACCTCTTCCTCTGTCCCTCCCCAGCTTCAGAGTCCTCAGAGTATTGCACCGTCCTACCCACCCTGAGACAAAGGAGATTTCACGCTGAGCATCAAACAAAAAACCTGCAAAATAATAATAAAAAATGGCCGACTTGAGCCGCAGTCCATCACTCACTTTCCAGGCCTGCTGTCCAGTTTGGGAGGTGTGGCCAAATGTTTCCTCTTCCTGGGTCGTCCTCTGCCCCGTCTGGTGAGACTCCGCCTCTCATCCTCCTGCTGCTGCCGCTCACTGACGCAAACATAAGACAGTTATGTGTTTGTCTCGGCGTGGACATACCGAAGAGGTGGACAGTAGTGAAGTACTTTTACTTGAATCCTGCAGTATATTTTTCAAGTATCTGTATTTACTTGAGTATTAATTCTTTTGGAAACTTCAGACTTTTACTTCTCTACACTTAAAAGACAAACAGTGTATTTTTGACTCCTCTACATTTCTATGAAGGGCTCTTACTTTGAAGCAGCTTTTAGTCTGTGGAATGAATTTTATTTTATTTTGAAAAACGTGACAGACCACACACCGAGTTAATCACAGGTCAGTTTGACCTCGGCAGTGGCAGGTCTAAAGATGTTGGAAATTTTATGGGTTTGAATCCGACCCGCCGCCCTTTGCTGCATGTCAACCCCCGACTTTCCTGTCTTACTATACTTTCAGAATAAAGGCAAAAAATGCCCAAAAAATTAACTTAAAAAAAAAAAAAAAAAAAGAGAAAGCAATAGGAAAACAACAACAGTTCCTTTTGTTGATCCAGTTGTGTTTTAATGTCCGTTTCTACAGTTTCATCATATTGTTGAAGCAGCCTTCTGTTTTTATGCACCCAGGGTCTGAACACCCCCCCACCACAAATCAGACAAGCAGCTTGTTTTTAAGAAACAGCTGAAAACTTATTTTTATGATCTTGATTTTAATTAACAAAACTTTGCTTTTACTTACTTAGTTTTTATTCCTTTAATTGTTTTTTTTTGTTTTTGATTTTATTTTTCTTCTAAAAAGCTGCAATTACGTATGAAAGGTGCTATACAAATTAAGTTTATTATTATTATTATTATATTCTAAAAGCTTTTTATTCTTTTATTTTTTATCATATATACATACATATATATATATATATATGATTATTACATTTAATTTATTTTATTTTATTTTATTAAATGAAGTACTCCAGTACTTTAACTGAAGTAAAACTTTGACTTGTATTGGAGTCATATTTGACCAGGAGGATCTTTACCCTGACTCCAGTCATGCAGCTGTGTATTTGTGCACCTCTGGGTGTGTGTGTGTGTGTGTGTGTGTGTGTGTGTGTAATAATAGCAGCAGAGTGATTAATTCCTTTTGAATGTGCTTCTTCCAACACGTGTGCGAGCTGCGTTCAGGAGCACTCACTGCTTGTCCCTGCGTCTCTGCAGCTTGCTCAGCTCCCTCTGCTTCTCCTTATACGTCTTCTGCAGCTCAGCCAGGCGGACGCGGTATTCCACTTCCACCGCGTCCAACATGTCCACAGACATTTTACTATACAGCTGCAGGGAACGAGAGACGCACAAAAAAAGTGACAACTCTGTCACAACATTTCACAAACTGTCATCTCTGGGAGACCGTGACAATATTTTTCCCCTTCATCTCACCGGCTCCTCCTTCCTCTGCCTCCAGCTGTACTTCTTGTTGGGATCCAGCGTCCTGGGCAGATCAATGTGCGACTGTTTCTCTATGGCGTCCAACAGGATCTGTCTGCTCGCTTCGAGAAGACAGTCCAGACCCTCCAATGTCAGATCTGGACGGGACGCACAGAGCAGTAAAACATTAGAGGAATATTTGCAAGTGGTACATATCCTGTATTTCTGCCCTCTCGCCTCTTTAACTATGTTTCCCACCTCCCACCGTCTCGTATCTACTCACCCTGCTCCTGGCTGATGTTCTCCATCTCTCTCTGGGCCATCTGGCTGAGCAGGGCCATCCCCTCCAGCGCCACCATCTCCAGAGGCCCCGCGCTGCCGCAGTCCTCACCCACAGGAGGGGTGTCGATTTGTGGTACGAGTATCGGGGCAGGTGGGGTGCTGGGTCGGGCCTGGGCGGCCATCTCGCTGGCCGTCAGCAGGGCGAGCATCCCCGCCATGGGGTCCTCGGGGCTGATGAGCAGCGGGAGCGGAGAGCTGGGGGTGGGGGGAGGGTAAACGGGGGTTTCGGCAACACTTTCTTTCTGACTGGGAGTGTGCGGGTCGATCGGAGTGTCGAGCTGCTCTGGTTCACACACAGCACCGGTGCTCTGCTCCAGTGACACACACCTCTGAGCCGACTCCTGGCTGTCTGAATCCACAGTGATGCATGATGGGTATCGTGTTCGCTCCGGAGCCTTGATGGCCTTCGGTTTGGGCTCAGCCTCTGTGAGCGGAGGTGGTAGAGGATACGCTGCCTGACACGGGTAAGACGACACTTCCATTTTGATTTGGCCTCCTTCCTTCTCTTCCTCTCTGACTTCCTCCAGTCTTTCCCCTTGTTGTGGTGTTGGACTGGGGACGTGGAGAGGTAGTGGCGGAGGCTGGGGCTGGGGTTTCGGGGCTTCCCCGTCCGTCTCTCTCTCCTTGATGACTCGGACGGGGCTGCAGGTCCGGCGAAGGGGACCCAGAGGTTCTGGCGTCACGTCCAGCTGAGGCCGCTCGACACCGGGCTCCTGCTTGAGGAAAGAGCCCGTCTTTGACGGCTCCAGTTTCTGTGGCTTGATGTCGGTGTCCAGGAGCCTCGAGTGGAGGTGTGCTGACGGCAGAGGAGCAGCTGAGGGCGGAGAGCGGGAGCGGCGGGGTGGGACATGTTCTGTGTTTGCCCCAGAGGGTGCTGGGATGTGATAAGGGGGGAAAGCTGAGCCGAATGGGGCAGTAATGGACTGGTAAGGGTAACCTGCAGGGAGATCTGTAAAACACAAAGGTTAGAGTCAATTACAATTTCACACACACGCCCGACGTCCCTCACACTCCTGAAACCTTCGTCGTCATGTGACGCTCATCACAGCGTCTCAAACATCCCACAGGCTGCAGGTGTTCATGAACTAAACTCAGCGATACAGACGTTTAAATACACAATCAATTCAATCATTCAGTCACAACATGAGGGCGGAGTCAGACTCACCAGAGTAGATGCCCTGGAAGGAAGCAGAGGTCGGCTTCTGTCCCTCCGTCTGCTCCCTCCGTCCCACCTCCCCTTCCTCGGCCGCTTCCTGTTTAGGCCGCCGTGGCGAGGACGGGGGCGGAGACGCCGAGCGGGGTGAAGGCGGGTGAGGCAGGGGTGTCGGCGGGTGCGCCAACACCCTCTGCCCCCCTTCCTCCGACTTGAGGGTGGTCACCGGCGAGGGGAGCGGAGGCAGCGGGGTGAGGGAGGACGTGGAGGGAGTCGGCGAACGAGAGGGAGGGGGGAGTTTGCGAGGATGCAGGACGGGGGAGGGAGACGGGGAAGATATCGAGGAGGGTCTGGGTTTGGGGTCCGCGTTCCGCTTGTCTGCTTTGTCCTCCATCTCCGGCCGGTGCTCGCTGGCCTTCAGACGCTCCTGAAACACAGAGAGGAGAAACGTCTGTTGTGTGTTCGGAGCTGCGTCGACCTGCTGCTGTAGATCCGTCCCTGCAGGTTTCACCGGATTGTTGCGGCTCAAATATCTGATTTCGCAGCAGCTTTTCTTAAAAATTTTAATGTTTTCAAGTTGTTTTTTTTTTCTGGCAATGAAACTGCGGAAGAAAATAAAAATTGCAAAAAATTGTCGCCTTCTTTTTTCTTTTGTATAATTCATTAAAAATCGAAGGGCAACTTGTAGCAGTGAGAATAAATCCAGTGCGGGTGGCGACACACTTCACAGATCTTACAGGGAAAAAGAAGAAGAAACAAAAACCTCATGATTTCTTGCTTATGAAACAGTTTCATAATGATCAGCATCAATGATGAATGAAAGGATGTTTTCTGTCTTTTCATCTTTACTAATTAACGATTTAATTCACTCAGCAGCTCAGAGGCGACCGGCATCTTTTAAGACGGAATGTTTCCTTAAGTGTTACTTGATGCACGATTTGACGTTTGGAAATCAATCAATACACCTTAAATGTCAATATGATATGTTTTAATCAGCTCTCGGATCTTCAACAGCTTAAAAATGTAGATAAATATCAACCGGATTATTTGAACTGTAGATATTTTATTTCACCTGGAGGATCAAAGCAGCGGAGCGTCGTTCCGGCGGCTCTACACCTGAGGATCCAGCACAATGTCGCAGCGCTACAAAACTATTTAACTCTGCTTTCGTGTAAAACATCTGGGAATGTCTTCACACGGTCTTTAACAGTGACAGTTTGTGGGTAAATGTGGGACGTTCGTGTCACACACGTCTGCAGCTTCACAAACAAGCTTCAACCCCAGAAACAAGGAAGTGAGTTTGGTGCAGGGACTGGTGTGATTGGTTCAACTGGTGGGAAACTCAAATTTGTGGAAAAGTTGTGGTGATTTGACAAAAATGGACTGGTTGAATTTGCGTTAATAATTGCTGATCAATACAGGGTTCGATCGATGTGTATTTATCGATATGTGTGTGTGTGTGTGTGTGTGTGTGTGTGTGTGTGTGTGTGAAGCCCACTTACGACCAGCTGTGCGTTCCTCTGTAGCTCCAGGACCTGCGCCGTGTGCTGCTGGATCATGAGCAGCTCCTGTTGCCGGAGCATCTGCTGCTGGGAGAGGAGCTGGAGCTGGGCGGCGTGCTGCAGCGAGCTGCCTGTACCGTAAACCCCCGACCACACCGGGGCTCCACGCTCCAGCACATCACCCCCTGCACGGCAGCGAAGGGGAGGCATGAAGGAAGACTGTTTGTTTACAGTAATTCCCAATAACAACATCTGTCTCAAGAAGATGAACGAGGAACTCATTTATTTATTTTTGAAGTGATAAAACTGGAAAACCTCCATCACACACACACACACACACACAGACAGAGGTTTTCATACCGTAGTGCGGCAGGTGTTCAGTAGGGATGACTATTAGCTGTCCAGACTGTGGGTCCCTGGCAAACTGGTAGGACGGGGGTAAGGAGCCTGGCAGAGAGGGGGGGTAGCCCGGGGGGAGGGTCTGGTGGAGCGAGGAGGGACCGAGGCCTGAAAGTGACGGGAGGGAAAGAGTTAGAAAAACGTTAAGAGGAGAAAACAAAAACATCTGAGCGGAGCTGAAGCTAACCTTTGCTCCGCGTCATTCCTCATGCAGTATTTATACCCGCGCTGAGGCCGTAATGGAGTCACATACGAGCGCACGCTCTGAATTCAGACGCTTTTCAGATGATTTTGTCTTTCTCTTCTTTTTTTTTTCCGCCCTCGGTGTCTAGACAGCGCCGGCCCTCAGGGAGCTCTGAGCATGCATGCATATCTCTGCGTCTCTGTGTGTGTGTGTGTGTGTGTCTCCATGTTTTCAGATGGTATGTGTGTCCTGATGCTGTTATTTCTGGACAGCGAGCGATGGAGGAGGAGGAGGAGGAGGAGGAGGAGGAGGAGGAGGAGGTCTGGAATGTCCTGCAAAGATCAGGAATGTCTGTGGCACTTGACCCCCGGAGGCTGTTGCTGGACGGCCGCTGCTCAGACAGAAAACACCTCCCTTCCTTCTGCACCAATCAGACGAGATACACGGAGAACTCAGCGAGCTCCTCCTCAGCACCAGGGCCCAGACGCATAAATGATGCAGACACATAAAAACCACTCGTACGCCATTTACTGCACAGAAATTGGTATTTATAATACAATAAACTACATATATTTTATATATATCATATATATTCTAACTCACCAGCTGTGCAGTATGACTTCTCTGCTGCTATCGTCTTGTGCTTTGTTATATTTATTGTCCAATTGTACATATTATATTATTATATTCATCTCTTTTAAGTACTTGGTGCTGACATTTAGGCAGTTCTTTTCTTCCTTGTTCTGTCACTTTGCTGCTGTAACACTGCGCACTTCCCCATCGTGGGACTAATGAAGGAATATCTTTATCTTATAAACACAGAATGTGCGGCGAGAGCGAACGCACCTCACGGTTTTCCCAAAGAGATCCGAGTTACAGAGAAAATACAAAATAAGCCGAGACACAAAATAAAACGAATCTGGTTTACACAGCAATAACAACTTTATAATTCAAAAAAACTTTAATAATTGTGTTTGTGTGCTCGATGTTTCCTTCATCATCGTTTAATATCCTTATTATTTACTGTGAGTCACTCTGTAACTGCTTCATAGTATTTTAATATTCACTAATTACAGTTTTAGAGCCTCTGGAGTCTAATTAAGTAATGTATAAGTAATAAATGAAGTTCAGAGTAAAACTTTCCATCAGAGTGATTGTACTAAAGTGAACTGATGCAGGTTTTTTTCCACCTCAGTTTCACAATCAGTGAAATTCTTCTTCTCCTCCTTCTCCTCCTCCTCCTCCTTCTTCTTCTTCTTCTGTGGCTAATCACTTGTTTTTTTATTGATGACAAACTGACTGATTAAAGGAGCAACTTCATCCATTTATGACTCATGCGCCCAGTTTCTCAATGAGTGAGATTTATAAAGCGGAAACCGCACGAACACACAGATTTATAATTCTGATTAAAAGAGTCTTAGAGAGAGAGTTTTATGCATCCGGCCCACGGGTCGGAATAACGCCGATAACAGATCAAGACACAGACGCCTTCTGAAAACCGCTGTACTACTCCACAGCTGTTGTACCCGCCCACATCTGGCAGTCTACCTTAGTGTCGTTCATCCTCAACAGGAGAATCTCTCAACTTCTACTACTGCTCGTTTCACCTCGACGTCACGACGCCGCGATGAAAAAACACCTGCGCCGGTAAATTTGCAGTTGTAATAAAATGTAAAGCGTTTGTGCGACTTCTCCAACCAGCAGCTGAAAACACAGATATTCAGATTCCAAAGAAAAGTCGTAAATCTTCACGTCTGAAACTCGAATATTTCACATTTTTGCCTTTAAAAAAAAACGATTTGCCGATTTATTTCCTGTTGATCGACTAATCTATCAATCATTTGACTTCAGCTGATACGAGCTGCTGAATTCTTGAAATCACTAAAATACAGCACGTGCAACTCTAGCAGTTACTAGTCTGAGCTCGGTCGCAGTCAGCGGGTTCGTCCACTTACTGTAGGGGGCGCTGGAGAGCCAGACTGGGGGGGCTCCGGGCCGGGGTATCCAGGGGTGAGAGGTCAGAGTCGAGGGGTCTGGAGGCCAACGCCCCGCCCCCGCCAGCGCGGCCCCTCCCGTCACCATGAGGTTGGGGGTCATGAGGCTGGGTGTCATCATGCCGGGCGTCAGGCCGCCGGACAAAGGCGCAGGATGCATCTGAGTGAACTCCGCCAGCTCTTTGGACTCTCTGAGGAAACAAGTGCACCTTCTTGAATTACTGAGAACATATATATATATTTTTCCTCCTTTAAAAGTCCGGTTAAGCCACGCCCCCTCACCTGAGCACTTTCTCCTGCTCGCGCTCCAGTCGGCCGGCCAGCAGTCTGTCATCGTGGTGACGAGCGCGGTCCTCCCCCCGCTCCTCATCTAAGACACGATTGGATGGGGCCGTTTAGTGGCTGCACGTTTAATTCCCACATGTGATATACATTAAAGACTACGAGCTAAGACAGAAGGAACATCGGGCGGTGGAGAGGTGAAAAGATATGTGGGGAGAAGAGGGGGAGAAAAGTGGGTGAGAACAGGGGAGGGAGGGGGAGGAGACAAGGTGACACCGGCTCTGTAACGGTGACACGACACATGTCAAAACGAGACGAGAGGCTAAAAATACAATGTTGGGCCGCAGCCTGAGCACAAAGAGCGTGATCACACACACACACACACACACACTGTTCAAACACACAAACACACACACACACACACACAAACGGAGTGACAGCTCTCACTTCGAGTGTCAGCTCTTATCAGTTATTAGTCTAGTGCCACGGGAGATGTGTGAACCTCTCCTCTTACTCTTACTCTACACACAGCTGACTAAGAGGGCCGGCGGCAAACGACGGAGATGGAGAGCGAAGAAGAAGAAGAAGAAGAAGAAGAAGAAGAAGAAGAAGAAAGAAGGAAAAGCAGCAGCACTCAACCAAGACATCCAGAATAAACATGAGGATCTCCTCCGCGCGCTCTTTCCCTTTAACCCTCTTCCATCTCATCAACGCTGACTGAAGGTCCCCGAGCAGTAGAAAGGTTTTATACGAGAGTGCTGAACCCTTCAGTTCTGCTCTGGATGTGTGTGTGTGTGTGTGTGTGTGTGTGTGTGTGTGTGTGTAGCCTGTAAAGGGACAAGAGACTTTAACAATCCCTGACATGCTCCGCAGGAAAGGTTTCAAGACTGTTACCAAGGTTACAGGGAGCCTGTCCCACATGCTATCCTCCCTGCATCAGAAAGCCAGCGATTAGCGCTGCACGCCCCCTCTCTCTCTCTCTCTCTCTCTCTCTCCTCCATCGCACGTCCTCCTCTCTCCATCTCTTAACTTCTTCACTTCCTGACATACCTCTCTCTCTCTCTTCTCGTCTATCAACCTATCGATCCACATCCATCAGTCCATCTTCTTATCATTCGCCTCCTTCTCCTTCTTCTCTTCCTCCTCCTCCATCTATCCATTCATTCATTCATCCATCCGTCTATTTGTGTTTTCTGTGTAAATCCTCTGCTGTTTATTTAGAGCTCTCCTCAGTGTGGGGGACTGATGCTATTAAACCAATCACTCTGCTCAAGCAAGGGAATGAATAAACCCCCAACAGGGATGCATGTGCACGTGCACACGCACACACATCTACAGCATCTCACAAACACACACACACACTTGCAGTCTGTCATTCTCAAGACTGATCCATTGCTTAGCAACGCACCCATGGTCTTATTGTAATTCAGGGCTTGTTTGTAGCTTTTAGCTGCACTCTGTAATGACATGTTTAATGCAGAGGGGGGGGGGGGGGGGGGGGCGGAGCCAAAGAAAAGAGTGGAGAAAGAGAAAAGGGGGCCTGAGGTGGGACAAGTGAGGGAGTGCCTCTACAAAGACCTTCTCAGAGAGGAAGGAAGGGCGGGGAAGGAGGGAGGCATTCAACCAAGTGAAAAGAGCAAGAGCGGACGTGTAATGATCCTGCGCGAGTCCACTAATCTGTACGAAGCGCTAATCGCGCGAGTCTTCCTCGCGCGGCATCTACAAGTTTGCCACCATCCTAATGCTTACCCCCGGCCGACCACTACACACCATAGTCACGCACACATCTCCCCGCTTGCCACTCATTTATATGGATTGACGCTCACTCCTGACAGTTGACCGTAGTTATTTTCCCGGTAGCGGTGCCACTATCCCACTCGTATCTCCTGTGACTCCCGTAGTAACACCCAGGCGAGCCGCGCCCTCGCGTCGCTCCGCGTACGACGACAGATAATCGGTCGGCGCCCGTAGCCACATCTCTAGGTAGTGCTATGTTTGTACCATGTATCCAATGATCGCGGCGTTCTGTACATTTTCGTCTTATTACCTGGATGGCAAACGACGCCTTAACTCATCATGATGTCAGCAGCTCTGCCGCCCACTATGTGGCCGATGGGAGGACGAGGAGGGAAGAGAAGAAGAGACCAGAGAGAGAGAGAGAGAGAGAGAGACAGAGAGAGAGAGAAGAGAGAGGAGAGAGAGCGAGAGAGGAGAGAGAGAGAGACAGAGAGCAGGGGGGAGAGAGAGAGAGGGAGAGAGACAGAGAGAGAAGGAGAGGGAAGAGAGAGGAGAGGTGAGAGAGGAGAGAGTGAGAGAGAGCAGAATGAGGAGAGAGAAGAGAGAGAGAGAGGAGAGAAGAGAGAAGAGAGACGAGAGGAGAGAGGAGAGAGAGAGAGGTGAGAGAGAGAGAGGTTGAACTGTGAGAGGACAGGAGAGAAAACATGGAGCTGAGAGAGAAACAGAAACAAGCGGAGAGACAGAGCGATGGAGAGGGAGCACTGTCGCCGAATGACCTTGACGTCCAAGAACAGAGCGGACGATGGCGGGGATAGCGATGCAGCACAGAGACGCCGTTTAAAACAAAAACATCCCGTGACATAATTAGCAAAAAAAAAAAAGTTGTTTTAACAATTCCAGTCACGTTAACGCAGACGAACAGCTCAAAGTCAAACAGGGGCTGAGGAAATATGACTTTGATCCCAAAGAAAATGACTCGTCCATTATTCATGGAAACCAAAATGAGGAATCATTTGTTCTTGGTTCGTTTAACTAAAGGATCTATGTTCCCTGTGAGAGCCGCCGCAGAGAGAGCGGGAAAGCAGAAGCGGGAAAAAAAAAAAAAAAAAAAAGTGCATTAGATAAATGTTTCGAAATATATTAAGTACACTTGATTTAACTTGCCAGAAACTATCAAACATGAAATGACTTGTGTGATCAGCTGACTCCTGCAAGTCGTTCCAAACCTTTGAGAGACAGTGAAAATGGAAACGGCGAGAAGTGGAAACTTTTTTCCTACGTCATCGCGTCAGATTCGTTTCTGGTTTTATCTTCCGCTTTTTCCGTATTTACCTTTGATGGTTGTTTGCAGCAGCGGCCTCTGTGTGTCCGAGGCGCCGCTCGTTGGTTTGCCGCTGCTCCCGCTGTCTCTCTGCCGGGCCACGGCCACAGCGATGCCGACCGGAGGGTGGCGCACCTCGCCCTCGCCCTCCCGGCCGAACGAGCGGGCGCTGTCCGGCCGCTCCTGCTCCCTCTTCAGCTGCGGAGGAATCCTCAACGCCCCCGAACCGGCTGACCCCACCGCTAACCTCTCCCTGTCTCTCTCCCTCTCTCTCTCCCTTTCTCGCTCTCTCTCTTTTTCCCTCTCCCGCTCGGCGTCCATGCCGATGTGAGCTAGACCGCCAAAGGGCCCCCGGCCGTCCGAGGCGTGCCTGGAGGACCCGGGACCTTCAGCGCCGAAGTTTCCGCTGTATTTAATTAGACTCTGCATGGCCGAAACCTCCGTGGGGTCTGAGCCGGCTCCCCCGCCTCGCTCTCCGCCACCGGACCCGCCCGCCAGCGACCCCCCGGGTCGGTAGAGGGCTGATGGGTCCAGGTAGCGTCTCTGACTCCCCTCCTCACCTCCACGCCCATGTCCATGTTGGGAGGGGTGTGTCTGGGGGGAATGGCTGTGGGAGTGTGGGTTGTTGTTGGGCCGGTGAGTCGTGTGGGGGGAGTGGGACACCTGTGTGTGTGTCGGCTGGCTGTGCGGCGAGGAGAGTGCGTGTCCGTGTTGGGCCGCCAGAGCGGCCATGTGAGTCGTGGCGTAGTTAGCCAACGGGCTGATGTTATTCCACTTAGGCTCCGCCCCCGCCCGCTCTATACCCAATCGGAGTGAGTGTTTAGGGATGTCCCTGGTTTCCGGGCTGAACCTTGATTGACCGGAGGCGTACGACGAGTCCACGCCTCGTTTACCGACGGAGCCGTTGGAACAAATGACAGAACCTTCCTCTCTTTGATTGTTGGACTCGCCGGACTGAGAGAGTCGAGGGTGATCCATCAGGCTCCGGTAGCTCTCCCTCTCCCGGTCTCTCTCCCGTTCTCGCTCTCTCTCTCTCTCCCGTTCACGCTCCCGTTCTCGCTCTCGATCTCTATCTCGCTCCCGTTCTCGCTCTCTGTCCCTGTCTCTCTCCCGCTCTCGTTCTCTCTCTCTCTCTCTCTGTTTGTTGTCACGGGCCTGCGAGGCGATCTGGATGGGCCCGGCCCGCTCGTCGTAAACCTCCACAGAAGGCACATATGTCGGGGCGCTGACCCGCTGCTCTCTGATTGGCTCTCTGGGTGTGGAGGGGTGGGGCGGACCGGCGACGGAGGGCTGGAGCGCGGGGGGGAGGACATAAGATATGTGGAGGGTCCCGGCCGACGTGGCCACAGAGTCGTTCCTCCTCTGTCTGTCCGACTGAGAGTTTGAGTTATTGGCGTTAGAGTTGTGGTGGTGATGGGGTCGAGAGCCGCCATCTTCATCCCGACCCCCTCTGTCAGTTTCTGGTCCGTGGAACCTGCCCGCACCTGGAGGGAGGCAGGGCTGTGGAGGCGAGGGCCTGGACCTGGCCTCCACTATGGAGGGCTGAGAGTGCGATTTGTGCTGGTGGAGGTGAGGATGGAAAGACCAAGTGTCTCTGTCTCTCTCCGTGTCCCGGTCCCTTTCTCTTTCTCGTTCCCGGTCTCCGCTCCGCGCCCTGCGGTCCTCCTCGCTCCTCCCGTCTTGCGTCAGGTCGACCACGCTGTGTGGCCGCTGCTCCTCTCTCGACCGCTCTCGCTCCCTCTCCCTCTCCCTGTCCCTCTCCCCCCGGTAGGTCCGGTCCCTGCCGCAGTCCCGGGACGTCCTCTGGGGGGGCGTTGAGCTGGACGGGGCGGGCGGCGGCGCGGACAGAGGATGGAGAGGCGACTGGCTCAAGGAGGCTGGTAAATAAAAACCATCTACAACACAGAAAACAGAAAACACGTGAGTGTAAAACACGCAGGTGATGAAGAGTCATGCGTACCGCAGCACACAGCAGAGGGGACGTCATGCATATTTAAATCTAACTATAATAGACCCACAGTGAATCTGCAGCAGCCACATCAGGGCGAGGAGGGGACAACGTGCTGCACATTAAAGCAAGAAAATAGGAAAACGAATCAGGGCCGAGACCGCTCCACCTGTCAGCCTGTTTCCAGCTGCAGGTGTGGCCCAGTTTCACAACTCGCTGCAGGTCTCCTCACTAAAATGAGAAAAGGCTCGACACAAAAAAAAAAAAAAAAAACCTACATCCACTGATGTATCACAGGATATGAAAGGGTATGTACTCTAAATCCAGCCATTCGTCTCAGTGAATGTTGTCGATGACAGTGACTGACCTTTATGCGAGTCGTAGAGCGGGTGCTGGGAGAGCGAGGGAGGATCCAGGTGCCCCAGGGACAGGTAGGGGCTGGAGTAGAGGCTGCTCGGCAGCGGAGGGTAGCCTGAAGACACCAACACAGAACACGTCACACACTGCAGGTCAAACAGAACACGCCACTGAGCCGCAGGCGATGGGAACAGATAGAACATGTAGATTCAGAGCTGCAATGATTAGTTGATTAATCAATTAGTCGATCGGCACAAAATTCAGATATTTGGTTCATCGTTTCAGTCTTTTTCTAAACTCAGCTTCTCCATTGTGAGTTACTGCTTTTCTGTTTCGTTTCATTTCAAACTGATGTTGGTCGAACAAAATACGACTATTTAAATCATTTAATGAGATGAGAATAATCAACGTTAATCAATTAATATTTGCTCTTTAATTAGATATTACCCCATTTTATAATCTGTGTTTTTAAACTGTTTTGTGCTTTTTTTTTACTTCTATTTTTTATGCTTCTCTTGTTTCTCTAAAGCACATTGACCTCTGTGTCTGACGTCGCCTTGGATCCCGAGATAACGATTAATCACTCATGAAATAATCCTAAATTCCAATTGCAGCCGTTTTTATATTCACTTGAGGCTCATTCAAACTGAGGCTGGATCCATATTTGAGAAGTTAGAACTAGTGATCATCAAAATAAAGCTGAATTATTTCTCTGTCACTCAAATAATCAATTAACGGCCAAACAGTCTCAGCTCCACCTCGGACTAGTCAACAGATTTGACCGCTTCTAAAATCGCTGTAAACTTTCCACGCCGACTCAACTGTGTAAGAAAAACGGTCACAGTCGACCCCACGTCACCTGCAGCTACTCGTTTAGTTCATGAGGTCAGTGTGGTGTTGGTGTTGGGCAACAGTCTGCCCGTCGGCCAGCTGCCGCTCTCAGAGACCAGATCTTAATATAGACAAAGCCTTGGCGCTCTGGATCTGTGTGTTACAGGTCGAGCTGACCGCGACTCTGACACTGGCTGGTGTCGCGGTGTTAGGCCGCGAGTAAAAAAAAAAAAGAATAAATAAATAAATAAATAAATAAAAAAGACTGCCACCCAGGGAGGGCGAGACATTCCCTGTCTCCACGCTCCGGCCATTCCAAGAGGTATCAAAGACGCCGCTGACGTTCCAGCACGAAGCGCCGGGGAGAAGAGCCCGAGTATAAATCTGTCTGCTCTCCGTTCTGAGAGGCAGAACTGGAGAAGGCAGGGGAGGCAGGTGGTGGGGGTGTAAGTGGTTAGAGGGAGGCACAAGGAGACAGAAATATAAGAGGAATGATGTGACGAGAGTAAAGGAATGCGGGATGGGTTTCTTTCAAAGCTTCCTTTAACCACAGCTAACAGCTAACCTTGATCTCTAACAGCTTTGATACGGGGTTCCTCTGCCGCTACGCTGCATCCCAGACATATCCACAGTCTGCCTCGTAGCTGCTGCCCGGAAACGTCTCTGGCTTTTAGTAACTTTAGCTGCTATTAAAGCCAGCCACCAGGTATTAGGAAGCTCTCTTAGGCCGTGAAGGATTCTATTCATATCGGAGCAAGTGGAGTCTACGGCTGCTTCAAGCCGGCAGGAGCTTTTAGCTTCTTCAGCTTTAGATACTCGATTTCAATTCAGGCTAAACTATAAGTCAGGATCAAAAAGGTCCATTCGCACCTTTATCCCTCCTTTCTTTGGCCGATTATAAAGTCAAACAGGGCGTGTCCCGGCCGGCACGCACAGCTGCTGAGCCAGTGACTGACCTGTGAACTTTTATTAACTATAACTACAAATGTTCATTAAACAAAACCCTGTTTTTTTTCACACTCCTGAAACACCAAGTGAATGTATTTAGATCCTGTGAGTTTTCATTGTCGGGATCCACCGTTCCCGCACTGGAGTCAAATTTAGTTCACATGCACAGGTGAGTCACAGGCTTATAATACAGCGTTTAAAACCAAGTGATGCTGCAGCTATAAACTCCATTTCTACCCGTCTTCTAGCAATAAATACATGGATGAGCAATAACTTAAAGTTAAACAAGGACAAAACTGAAATCCTCCTAGTCGGCCCCAAAACAAAAAGAGAAACGCTGTTCAGTGACTCCCTGGATCAAATCTGATGTTACAAAACTTGGCGTTATTTTGGATTCAGATCTGAGCTTAAAGTCCCACATCAATAACACCGTAGAAACAGCTAAAGTACGGCCGTTTAAAAACCAAAAACATGCTGAAAGATTGATTCATGCCTCTTGAAAACACTGAGACACTTCAGCTCATTCAAAACTCTGCAGCTCGGCTGTGAACCAGAACCAAGAGGAGAGAGCACATCAGTTCCAGCTTTAGCTTCCTGTTACATATAGAATTGATTCTTTATATATAAAAAAAAGGCCTTAATGGGCAAAGACCAAGCGACACTGCGAACTACACTGAGGTCATCTACTGCTGCTTTAGTGACGGTTCTCGGAGGAAAATTAGTGATGCAACTTTTATCAGTTACGGCCCAAAGCTGCGGAACACATGACCCTTAGATATCAGATATAGATACCTATAGATATCAGATATAGATATATATCAGAGAGGGCAGCTCACTGAGTGTTTTTAAAAGAAAACTTATTTCTTCACTTTAGCCTTTAACTAGCTCTGAGAATTTGTTGCACAGCTCAGCACATCTTTTAAATGTCTTATTTAATGATTTATTCATTATTTTATCTCATTCTACATTAATGTTTTTAATGTTTATTTTATGTGTTTCCATGTGAAGCACTTGGTGATTGGTCATTTCTTTTTGCATTTCTTGTATGAAAGGTGCTGTATAAATAAAGTTTATCATTATCATTATTATAATTATTAATAATAAAGGAGTAGTACATTAGTAGGACTGTGTCTATTTCTCTGAGCATTTGCCATAGTTGCAATCAGTGTCAGTGCCGCCCCCTTGAACTGTCACTGAATTGAGGAAATTAAGCTCAAGACAAAAATACACTAATCACACACAATCTGATTTGCTGTGTTTGGAAAGCACTGAACAAGATCCGTCACACGATCGGGCTTTAAAATGAATCCTAAAAAGAATCCGTTCGTCCTTCTCTCTTTACCTTGCCACAACACGCACTGCGAAATGTGCCTCATATCTGACCTTCTACTCCGCAGAGATTCGATAAGGAGACACAAAAGGACACGAGGAAATGAGGAGGGAACAGAGATTCAATCACTTACTGAATGGGCCTCGAAAGGAGCACAGAGACAGAGAGGAGAGAGCAAGGAGAGGACATATTATATATCCTGGAACATGCATGCAGTACACTCTCATGCCCGCCCTGAATGACAGGCACACGGATGGCCAGTAAAGACACTGATGGGGCTGGTTGAAACTTTACAGATTGTTTTCATACGGCGACCCGTTTCAGAAAGACAAGAACGCCAAATCTGATGGTTTCTAAATGTGAATCCTCACGTTGACTTGAAACAGCAGTAAAATATTTTCTATTCACCCCATCCTCAGTCTAGTGGTCATAAAGTTGTGCTTGTGTTTCGATACAATTATCAGAGCCATAAGAAATATATAATACGTCTATCTTTTAAACTTTTCAATGCTCGTTCCTCCTTTGATCTACTGTGTCTGACGATGGACAAATTAGTCCAAACTTTTCCAAAGAAGTAAAATCACATGCATTATTGAGCCGACACTTCGCTGAGCCACCTTTAAACGAAGGTTTTTATTAATAAATTATGTCTAACTTTATTAATATAAAATATAGGGTTAGGGTTAGAATATTATATTATTATTATCTATTATAATAATTTCAGATTATAATTTACACACCCCAATTATTCACATCAGACATGGAGGCAATTGGTATCCAAAAGTGTATTTTTGTTCTAATAAAGATGCTTATTTGCTGCTGTGTTTATGTAACATTATTTTTCTTAGAGCACCAGTTTTGCAGGAGGGTTGCACACCCCACCATTTCCAGTTGTTAATGTAGCTACAGCTTGTTAATAACATTGACAACATCTGCTGTGTGTTCTATGGGATTACATGACTAGCTAGCACATTAGCCAGCATTGTAATCAGAAGCTAGCATGCTAGTTTGGTCTGGACCAAGCTCGGCCCTGTACCAGAGGTCACGTCTGAAAATAAACTTCATGATTTATAGAAACATGGAGAAAGTTTCAAGCTTTAGTCATAAAACACTCGATAACCTTCCAGTGTCAAGCTTCTCTGCTGCACTATGTGTGTGTGTGTGCACTCACACCTCTCCGTGTGTCTAAAACTATATTCACAAGCTAAGTCAGGAAAGATATGTGGAAAAGTGGGGCAGGAGCGCTACAGAGAGACAGACAGAGACAAAGTGCATACTGGACAGGAAGCTCAAAAAAAGAACAGAGAGGAGAGGAAGATGGATTACAGCAACGCACGACAGGCCAAAGTAAGAGAGTTGCTGCGGACATAGGAAGCAAGACGCATTTAGGACAGAGCCAGGAGCGCCGCTACCAGCAGAGACAGAAATGGAACAGGATCCCACTGGTGTAAGCAATGAGGAACAGAAGAGGGACGAGCCTCCTGGGCATTGGACAGGAGCGGACTGGGAGAAATGTCATGAAAATATGATGTCACATGTGTCTTCAAGCATTTGAATTATGCACCGAGACAGAAAAAGAGGACGGGGGGGCGATTGGGGGGCTGGGAGTCGGGTTGGGCGCGGTCGGTCGTGGGTGTGTTTGTTGAGGCGAATGATGATTTACCTTCATGAGCGTGTGATGCCCAGAGCTGGGCCATCTGCAGACTGCTGGGATTGGCCGATCTGTACGCCGGGTCAGAGGTCAGGGGGGAGGGGCCTGGATAACCTGACAGGAAGGGACTGGAGCCTGATGGGAAGGCATCACCTAGGAAAACAAAATAAATAAATAAATAAATAAAAAAAGACTTGTCAGTCACACTCGTATCACAAGAGCCAAACTAACAAATGACAAAGATGATTGATTTATACTTTACATCCTGTCACTTCCTGTGTGTGTGTGTGTGTGTGTGTGTGTGTGTGTGTACGATCGATACATGCTGATGTTTCTACGCCGAGGCAGTTGTAATGTTGTAATCACATTATTACCGAGCCACCGTGCACTCTGTGTTTCAACAAGACAGACCGCAGACAGACTGCGCTCTGAAGACACGGACAGTTAACGTAACCGCCGACTAAAACCACAACCGTCACACGACAGGAGTGGAGACACGTGGCGTCGTCTTCAGGGTGCTGGAGATTTGATGTGGCGTTAAGGGAGTGGTCTGGCAGAATCTCTCTCTCTTGGCAAACACAAAGATTTTAAATCCACAGGACAAGTCAAATACAAAATGTGGGTGATCTTGCTTTGACCCTAACGTCAGTCCACGTTCACTCAAAACGTCTGGACGACAGGAGCGCAAACACTGAGCGTCAGGCATCGTCCACACTTACACCTTTTACTTTTAAAGCTCTTCACTTCTGCTACGTTTACGCCTGGCGTCCACACTACTCCTCTTCTGGAAACCCTGAGGACCCGTTTTAAAAACTGCAGGGTTTACTTTAGTCTCCTGATCGGGTCACATGGGTCACGACTCCCAGACAGTGAATGCAACATGGATATCGACTGAAGGTAATATCGCCGATTTGGAAAACAATCACATTACTGAATATGAAGAAAAGAGATGAGCCACCAAAGTGATCGTTCATTAATCGTGATATTGATTTGAAGTCATGCGGCTCAACCCTAACCACTGACTTTAACTATCTTAATGTATTTCCACCACTTTCTGGATTATTGATCCTCGATCCCACGTGTCTACCACGGGTCACTCAGGATAATAATATTAATACCAGGAACATGAACGATGGGAGCTTCAATCCAATCAACTCTTACATGAAATTTACATTCACGTCATTCCGTCACACGAGGGCGGCTCGTCACCAACTTTATCATGATGGAAAACGACTTCTACAGCGAGGAGTTATCCAACCAAACCAGCTCATCGCGCCGACGTCAAACACCTCGCCATTAAAACCAGTCCCATCACTTTAACATTCAAAGAGCAGATCCTCATAAAACGTTTCATATCTCAACATGATACCGCTATCGATTGTTTTGTTTTTTTACTAGACGTGTTTTTATTGGACTCCACTCCCGAGTATGTGCGCAGCATCGGCCATTAGTAAACTTTGAACCTTTGAACCATTACTATCTCTTCCAATCACAACCTTCTAAAAGCTGGAAAAAGGTTTCATGTTTAGCTGAGGTTTCCCCCTCCCAGCCCATTACTGAACGCACTGCACAGCCATTACCCTGATAAAACTAACCATGTGTGTAGGGGAAAGGGTGCTGTCTGTATGAGGGCGAGGGGGAAGGGACTGAGAGAGTGTGTGTGTGTGTGTGTGTGTGTGTGTGTGTGTGTGTGTGTGTGTGAGTGTGTGTGTGTGTGTGTGTGTATGTGTGTGTGTCTGTATTAGTCCTGTGGGAATCTGAGAGACTTGCTGTGCTTGCTGAGTTTCCCTTGCATCTAAATCAGTACATTAAAACCGCAGTCCGTCAGCGCCTGTATACACACACACACACACACACACACACACACACACACACACACACACTGCATTTTAAAATCAATAGCAAATGCGGCTTTCCAATTAATCACAAACCAAAAGGCGCGCTTCATCCAGGAGTAATGCAGCGCGCCTTTACTCACCTTGCTTTGAAAAATACTGTGTAGGTGGATCCTTCCAGAGCAAGTAGCTATTAGACAGATTTATTCAAGCCCCTCCATGTTTGTGTGTGTGTGTGTGTGTGTGTGTGTGTGTGTGTTTACTGAGGGTCTCTGTGTATGTAGCTTAAGTGGCTGCACTGGATCGTGTTATGATCACTGACATGTGCAAACAGTTCCATGTGGGTTTGCAGTGAATGCCCTATGAGTCAGAGACACTGCAGGAGCCCCCCCCGCCCCCCAGACACACACACACAGACACACACACACACATGAACAAATACACATCTAAGACACGCACATGTGCAAAAACACAGATATAATCACATGCTAAGATGCGCACATACACAAACCAGCATTTGTGAATTCACACATGCACACCAATTCCTGGGAATATAGAAGCATGAAAACATCCACACACACACACACACACACACCCTGTGATTAATCTTCAGTTAGTCTCAGTACGTTAACTCTGCTGGAATAAACACACACACACACCCTGTCCTGTGAGGAGCATTGAAGAGCAGCAGTGACGAGGTTTTTACTTCCAAACAGAAACAACTTTCTGTCAGTGAAGTCTCATATTACAGCGTCAGAAACACGAGCAGCTGGTGTGTGTGTGTGTGTGTGTGTGTGTGTGTGTGTGTGTGTGTGTGTGTGTGTGTTTACAATGCAGCCAAACAAACTCAGGTTGTTGTTTTTTTAAAGAGGGAAGTCGGTCAATTATTTGGCTTTTCCCTTCGTGACATGAGAAACCGTGACCTGATTACACACTGCGCACAATGAAAGCAGTTTTTCACACAACAACTGCAGATGAACAGCTGTTTTTTTGTTTTGTTTTGTTATAATCCTCCCGTGTAAAAATTAAAACACTACATTTTTGATGAACGATTGCTGCCAGCACTAATTTCACTTAGTTTCCTGTGACTGCCTCACAATAAAAGCCTCACCCGTGTTTCACGAGTCGAACACTTTTAATGTGAAGCAGCTGCAGGAGGAAATGTTTGGTTTGCATTTGCAGCAACTCGATACAGCTCGATGTCACTGGAAGAGAGTGAAGGGTAAACAGTGATGCTGATATCAATGAGATAAAATTACAAACAGTCTGGCTGCATCGTTTCCTAAGAAAAACGGGCCATTTTATCTCCACTAACAACTGGAAATACTATATATTTACAGCCAGATATGTATTTACATTTCAATAAAACTAACAGCAACAGATCAAAGAGTAAAACTTGAAGAAATCATCCTGTGTTATAATAACGTACAAGTTAACATCAGAAAAGGTAAGTTTGTAATTTACAATGAATCCATAATAGAATATATTTAATCACACTATCATTTTAAAACCTAAAACCCTGAAGATTGCACCTGTTTCCTCAAACTGACTGCTAGCCTACAGAAGACAGAAGCCAGGGTTAGCTTGCTAGTTAACACTAGCAAACATGGTTAAATAACATCAGTGGACATTTTTCCACCATGGAAAATGCTGGTGATGTTAGAATGAGGTGACTAGATTTCTGTAATGAAAACCAGGGACATTTCCAGTTCAGTGGTCAATATATCATTAAAATATTCAATGTTTTTATCTATGAAGTCCATGGTAACTGTCGTACTGTAATAAACTATGGTGAGGGATGACTCCCTACCTTTAAAGCAGTCATAAAGTCCGACTGTCTGTCTATTCCTTGATTATTTATGTTCATTAAGTCTGTATCCACCAATTAAATGGAATCAAAAACATTTTTCATAACAGTATTCTTGTGAATATTGTCTCGTGAAGCCCATTACAGACTGTCGAGCAACTTCTTCTTCACTTTTTCCATCATAAACATTTTTCAAGTTTTGACTGGGAAGTTTACCGCCCGGTTATGAACTCCTGACCAAAGAGTGAGCCAGCTAATCTCTTCTCTGCCTAGAGACAAAAAGAGAGAGAAATCTGATTGGTTAACTCTATTTTGATTATTTTATCTTCATTTCTGAAGCTGCTGTAGCTAACAGCTAACAGCCTGATCTTTGTATGAATGTTCGACGCCAGAGTTAAATATCTGCTGGCAGTCGCTGACTATTCATCTGTGTGACTATAAAAAAAAAGTGATTTGCCAGCCGTGTGAGAAAAAGCATGATTCATTTCCAGCAGCTCATGACTGTTTGTAATTCGATCACGTAAATTAAACTACGATTTACCACGAACAAATACAAAGAAACCCATTTTTACCGCCACCTTTCCTCCCCCCGCTCCAGCGTGTCTGTGTGTGTGTGTGTGTGTGTGTGTGTGTGTGTGTGTGTGTGTGTGTGTGTGTGTGAGGCTACGTGCCAACAATGTTGTTCTAACAAATTATTCTCACCTATTATTCATTTTAATAATTGTTACCTGGTGTGTGTGTGTGAGGAACAACACGTAGACAAACACACACACACACACACACACAGGGAATACATTCACAACCACCACCTGTCAAGGATGTTGAGGTCCTGGTAGGATGTCAGCAGTTTCCATTCCTTCAGGCCAAACACCAGGGTCTGTCTAACGCACACACACACACACACACACCCAGACACACACAGACACAAACACACACACACACACCAGACACCACACACCACAAAACACATACACACACAGACTAGAGTATGGATCAATCTCTGCATCACAGCCGCCTACAGGCCTTTTATCCATGTGTGGAGAGTGTAAACACACACATACACACACACACACACACACACACACAGCTACATACAGTCCAGTTACTTTTCATGCCAGTGATCAGGGAAAAAAACACAATCCCCAATTCCCTTTTCTCCCTTCCTGAATAGTCTGAGGGAGGAAAGAGAGGGAGGGGTAGAGAGAGGGAAAACATTTGTGCTCCTCGTTCCAGAAACAACATCCAAATGGTAGCTGAGAGGGAAATGTTTCTTTAAATGTTTTGAAATTACTCTTTCATTACGTCCCTCTCTCTTTCTCTCTGCCCTTTCCTTCCTTCCTTCCTCTCTCTCTCTCTCGCTCTCTCTCTCGCTCTCTCTCTCACACACACAACTCCATCCCACTTTCCCACCCTGGAAACAAACACACACACACACACACACACAAACACACACACATACCATTTGGCTCCTACTTCACAGTTAGTTTGCCATATTGGGATAAGCGAGTTGC